ACCAGTTCTTGGACTAATGACTGGATAGCTGATCTGTCAACGAAGTGCTTGATGTGGCTGATGTTTCTCAGATGGAAAAAGGCGGATTTACAGACAGTGTCTGCATGCCGATCCATACTCAGGGAGGAGTCAAAGATAACTCCGAGGTTTCGAGCTTGATCACTTGGTGATATTGTACTGTCTCCTATCTTTAAGGTTGGCAAATACATTTTCCCTGATAGAGACCTTGGGCTCAGGATCAAAAGTTCTGTTTTGTCATTGTTCAACCTCAGCTAGTTGGTAGACATCCAAAATCTTACGTCGTCGATAGCTTTACTCATTAATGCAAATGTTGACTCAGCAGATGATGTTTACAGAGGCTTGAAGCCTAGGTACAACTGTGTGTCGTCTGCATAAAGGTGAAACGATAGGTTATGCTGTCTAGCAATGTCCCCTACAGGCAGTGTATATACAGTAAACAAGACAGGTCCCAGGACCGAGCCTTAGGGAGCTCCGTATGTAAGTTTATGCCTTTGTGATTTGCATCCATCTATTGTCACTGACTGGTAGCGGTCAGAGAGAAAGGATTCAAACCAGTCCAAAGCTGTGCTGATGATTCCAATCCTTGATTCCAGTAATAGAAGCAGAATGGAATGATCGATAGTATCAAAATCAGCAGATTAACCTAATAAAACCAGTATTGCAGCACCCTGTGAATCAACAGCATTTAGTAAGTCATTCTGAGCTCGTAAAAGCGCCGATTCAGTGCTATGTCTGCACTTGTAGGCAGATTGCATTGCTTCAACCAAGGTGTTGTGTTCCATGTGATCGCTGAGCCTTGATGCGACAACTCTTTCAATGACCTCGGACAAAAATGGCAGATTGGACACTGGGCGGTAATGTTTTAGATTGTCTGGATCCAAGTTTGGCTTTTTCAGTAAAGGAGTGATGAGAGCGTGCTTCAATTCCGAAGGAAAGACACCCATTGACAGAGACTGATTCACAATCCGGGTAATAACTGGCACTACCTGAGCCATACAGGTTTTCAGCAGCCAGGTGGGAAGTGGGACCAAGGAACAGGATTTTGTGAGCAACTTAAGAATAACTTTGGATATTTCAACCTCACTTGTTAGGTTAAATGTTGTGAGAGGTTGTATCACAATCTGAGATTCATTGACGCTGGGACCACTGTGAAGGGCATCATTAACAGCAGTGTCAAGTGAAGATCTGATGGTGATAATTTTATCACTAAAATATGCATTGAAACTTTCTGCAAGTTTTGCAGGTGAATCGTGTGAAGGCAGATGATTCTTCTTCTTCTTGAAAAGCAAGGTGTTGCAGACCCTGTACATGTCCTTCTGCGATTTTGCTTCACCGATGGCTTGTTTGAAATGAGATGTCTTTGCTTCACTTATGAGTTTATTGACGCAGTCACGTTGATCTGAATGCAACTGCCGATGTATTGTCAGACCAGTCTTAATCATTTGTCTCTCGAGGTTGCGGCGATGTTATTTAGCGTCCCGAATCTCGTCACAATACCAGGCAGTCTGATGTCGTACTGTCACAGTAACAACCTTAGATAGAGCATGTTTCTCAAGAACATCATGTGTTAAATAGGTTCACACTGTCAGAGATGTCAGCTGTGCAAGCATCAATGGTTGAAGATGCAGATTTAATATCTTGACGGAATGCCTTCATATCAATGTCCCTCCTCTTTCTACACCTCTGGTTTGGGAATATTCAGGGAGAATAGTATACCGAAATGATCAGAGGACACAGAGTGATCATACCCAAACTTGTTCAGATGTAACTCATCCGACCTTAAAATGACTAAATCCAGCATGTGACCATTTCTGTGAGTTGGAAACAGAAGGTGCTGAACAAAGTTCTTTGATTGTAACACTGATTCAAACAGATGAGCATTTGTTTGTGATTTTTGTCATTGAAATGTATATTGAAGTCACCACAGATTAATAGTTTACCACTTGAGTGATTCAAAGAGTCTGATAAATCTTCAAACTCACAGAAGAAAATGTCAATTTGCTTTGATGTAGGCGGTCTATACACAACCTCAAGATGCACTTGCTGATTGCACACATTCAGAGCAAGAGAGAGTAATTTGAAGGATGTAGGCTGCACAAGGTTAACTTGCTTGCAGTCTATTGTTTCACGAAGTATACATCCACATCCGCCGCCATGTTTGTTGTGTCTGCACTTGTGAACAAGCTTGTAACCGGCTGGGACGTTTGTTGTGTCTGCACTTGTGAACAAGCTTGTAACCGGCTGGAACGTTTGTTGTGTCTGCACTTGTGAACAAGCTTGTAACCGGCTAGAACGTTTGTTGTGTGTGCACTTGTGAACAAGCTTGTAACCGGCTGGAACGTTTGTTGTGTGTGCACTTGTGAACAAGCTTGTAACCGGCTGGAACGTTTGTTGTGTGTGCACTTGTGAACAAGCTTGTAACCGGCTAGGACGTTTGTTGTGTCTGCACTTGTGAACAAGCTTGTAACCGGCTAGGACGTTTGTTGTGTCTGCACTTGTGAACAAGCTTGTAACCGGCTGGGACGTTTGTTATGTGTGCACTTGTGAACAAGCTTGTAACCGGCTGGGACGAATTTGTTTTTGCAATATGATCAACATCCCCATCACGAAACCAGGTTTCTGTGAGCGCTAGGATGTCCAAGTCATTGTCATTAATCAGATCGCAAATCTGTTGAGCTTTATCACAATGTTCATTTCTCGCTTTAGCAGATCGGGCATTGAGTAGACCGAACATTAGAGGCTGAAAATTATGGAATATATTCTGATAGACGGGAAAATTCAACTTTTCTTTTCTTCCTCTTGAACCCCGTTTTGTCCTCCTTGCACTACATATCCCGTTACTTCTGAGATCCCTGTACACTTCCAGGGGAATTTTGTAAACGTTTGTGTTGTCTATTGCCTTACACTCCTCAGATGAGTATGTAAGCAGAGTCATGATTGACCAACACAGTGACAAGCCAATCTGCATTGTCTCACACAAGCGCCCACTCAGCACATACAGCTTGCTGTCTGAGTACAGTCATTCAAGGTTATGTAATTAAACAATGGGCAGGGAACAAGGGGTGGCCAAAGTTCAAAATAACATATTTCCATGGAATTGCAGCCATATATGCACTATGACTTCAAACAATTCACACAATTGTCTTCCTGAGATCTGTACTAACGCAGATGTCAATTCTGAGAATTCTGAGAAAATTATGCCAGAAAATTCTACACTAAGACAGATGATTCTGGAATAAGCTCCTTGCAGCACTTTCCAGATCTTTCTGTCTAAATCTAGTACAAGTCTTAATATAAGACACCTTTGTCTGAATGTCAACAGGTACAATGTGTTACTCTTGAGTGAGCGAGTGAGTGAGTTGGGTTTTACGCCGCTTTTAGCAATATTCCAGCAATATCACGGCGGGGGACACCATAAATGGGCTTCACACATTGTGCCCATGTGGGGATTCGAACCCGGATCGTCAGCGTGACGAGCCGACGCTTTAACCATTAGGCTACCCCACCGCCCCGTTACTCTTGAGCATTGTATCAAGTGAGTGAGTGAATGAGTGAGTTTAGTTTTACGCCTTCCCGGGTCTATTGGATCAAGATGAATAATACTGTCACATAACAGTCCGGACTTGTCACCCATCGAATATATCTTAGATATAATTTGAACGGCGCTTACGTCACCGCCAACAACCACTCACTCCCGACGAACTTGGCGTTGCCCTGAAGGAGGAATGGACTGGGATGAAATGAACCAAGCTGACATTGATGTTTGATTAGGAGTATGCCTCGTCGAATACAAGATTGTCTTGAGAAAAGAGGTGGATGTATAGTCCAAGAAGTAGCAACGAGTTTGACTTTTCATATAAATGACTTGAAGGACAGTGGGGCGCTTGGCCAATCGTCGGCCAAAACATTTGGCCATCTGACGCTCAACGACAAATGCAATTCTCAGCCAGAAGCCTGTGTTACATTGCTAAAATATTTATCTCATTACAATTATCCAATATCAATATTTGTGAAACCTTTTTATTGGAAATCCCCGACTTTAATAGTATATCATTTTAAGGCTTCTGAGTTCTCTGAAAAGTTATGGGGAATTATGTAATGCAGATATCATGTACACATTTGTTTTGCTAGGGGAGTTAGTTCCTGGGTAGGGTTTTAGCTGCTTTTTACAATATTCGAGAAATTCCACGGCAGGGAGACTATACACATTGTACCCATGTGAGGAATGGAACCGGAGACTTCTGCGTCAATAGGCTACCCCACTGCCCCATACATTTTCCTGTACGTTTTCTTCATTTATTTCTGACCCGTGAAGGTCCGGGTTAGAATGAGCCTTCAGTAACCCATGCTTGTCGTAAGATGCGACTAACGGGATCGGGTGGTCAGGCTCGCTGACTTGGTTGACACATGTCATCGGTTCCCGCAGATCGATGCTCATACTATTGATAACTGGAGTGTCTGGTCCAGACTCGATTATTTACAGACCGCCGCCATATAGCTGGAATATTGCTGAGTGCGGCGTAAAACTAAAGTCACTCACTCACTCTTCATTTATTTCTAAACATGAATCCCCGGCCACGTCATACCAAAAGATGTTAAAATATGGTACTTGTTGGTCCCTGCCTGGCGCTCGGCATTAATGGGTTCAACAAGGACTGGTCGGCTCGGAGTCAGTATAATGTGTCTGAGTAGGGTATTCATGCTTCACTGCGGCATGGTATCTCAGTGGGCTAGCACTATAAAACCAGCTTAAGTCTGGGCTAGTACAAGCAGCCGCACATACACATGCATGCACGTCGTCATATGAGCGAAATATTCTCAAGCACGACGTTAAACCCAATTTCACCTCACCTCACCTCATGCATAATGCCCAGAGGAAACTGCCCTCAACTCAGACTCTCATTCATGTAGAACAAATAACCCATAACACGCCTTTATTATTTGTAATAATATACCTTTAAAACATATTGCTGTTTCAGGGTATACAAAACAGTATTCTTGGCCCTACCATTCTGGACCTGCAGCTGCTCCTCAAGAAGGACCTCAGCGCTCTGTCCTATCTGTTCTTCGCCAATGGTCTGGGCGCGATGTTAGGAGCTTTGGCAGCTGGGTTCCTGGCCTCGAGGTTTAATCTTCGTCTCCAGCTGTTCCTAAGCCTGATGGTCGGATCAGTGTCACTGGCGGCCATCCCGCAGGTTCATCATATCGTCTACATGTACATCATGGTCTTCATACTAGGCACCACCAGTGGGCTGGTGATCACTTGTGAGATATTAGTCTAGGAGTTTCTGTTCTATCCCCACGAACGTACTTACAGTTGGCATTTCAACTTACAGAATTCCACTTGAAATAAAACAGAGCTATGGAAAAGGAGTTGCTAGAACAAGGAACACCTTTCTGTTAGTGAATGTGTTCACTGATGTTCCCTAATGTTCACAATTAGAAACTATTAACTTGACTCTTGTCTTCCATCATAAGTAACCCGTGAAGGTCCCGGTTAGAATATTGATTTCCAGTAACCCATGCTTGTCGACTGACAGGATCGGGTGGTCAGGCTCGCTGGCTTGGTTGACACATGTCATCGGTTCCCAACTGCGCAGATCGATGCTCATGCGGTTGATCACAGGATTGTCTGGTCCAGACTCGATTATTTACAGACCGCCCGCCGCCATATAACTGGAATATTGCTGAGTGCGGCGTAAAACTAAACTCACTCACTCACCCCATCATAAGTCCGTAAGTCATAAGTCGTTACTAAGACCGTAAGTCTTTAAGGATTAAGAGCAAAACACCTGATCAATACACTGTGCAATATATATAGAAAATGGTTAAATGTAACATGTAACATTGAGATTACACTTTCTTAGTACAGTACAGATTTTAATACTTTTCATTTGTTCACCTTTTGTGGTGACTGAGCGGGTTAATCGTCTGACTTTGTGTGCTGGCGATTAGCTCCTGACTCTGAGGGTGTGGGTTCGAATCCCGGGTGGGACTCAGCCCAACAAAAGTACCCGAATGTTAACTAAGAAAGTGTAATCCCAAATATAACATATGTTACAAGACACACGATGAACGGTTGCCTCAAAACATTGATCTAACCCGTCTGTTTCAGTTGTGATGCTTATATGTGGAAAGATGTGGGAAAGAAGAGGACCGGCGTTCCACTTTGTTGCTTGTGGGATGTCAACAGGGGCCATCATAGCTCCACTACTTTCCAATCCATTCCTCTGTTTGAATAAGACAGTTCTCAAGGACGTGAACCTGACCAACGCCTTGCCACTCAACTCAACCAGAATGGGCTCTGTACTTAAGGCTGTTATCCCCCTTCAGCTTAGAAGTCAGAAAACCATGTGTACAGCCGATGACACCAGTGTGCAATGGGCCTTCTTTGTGCTTGGCTGCTGTATGCTTACCGCTGGCCTGTCTCAACTCTACTACTGGTTTGTTCACCGTGATGAGAAAGCACAACAGGAAACAAAGTCGTCGGAGTACGTGGAGCTGGACCCCCTCGGACAGTTGACACCAGCTTCTGTCGTCTTCTACATCAGCCTCTGTTTAATGTACTTCTCTTTAAGCTCCCTCCCGGCAACCTTTGCCTCTCTCTTGACCATTTACGGTGTTACGGGGCCATTACACGTTGCCAAGGGAACTATGACGACAATAACTGCATTATTCTTCATTGGGTCACTAAGCTCTAGATTTATCAGTGTTTTCCTTACTCGAGTGTTCACCAATTACCAAGTACTTATAACTCATCTGTCGGGTCTAGTGATAGTGGGTATCGTCTTCGTCAGTCTAGGAAACAGGTATACTCTGGTGGTATGGCTTTGTTCAATTTCCGCGGGTTACCTTTCTGGGCCCTTCTTTGCTGGTGTTCTTGCGTGGGTGACAGATGTTTTGTCCATGCATTCGAAAGTTACCTCCCTTTGTTTCCTGTTTTCCGGAGCAGGGATTATGTTGTCACCATTTGCCGGGGGGGCTTCTGTGTGACGCGTTTGGTGCCACGAGTTTCTTGTATTTAGTATTCAGTATAATCGTAGCAATGGCATTATTGTTTTATTCTATGACCGTCGTTTTAAAGATCCAGCCTCTGGATCACAATGGGGGTAGTTGAGTATACAGTTATTCGGACACCGGACAGGAGGCGGTTGGGTAGCCTAGTGGTTAAAGCGATCGCTCGTCACGTCGAAAGCCCGGGTTCGATTCCCCACATGCTTCATCACAAATCCCAATCGGAAAGTAAACTACCAGGGTCTGAAAGTATATATAATAATAATAATAATAAAAATAATAATAGTGCATATTTATAATGCGCGCACATCCACCCTCGTAAGCATGCTCATGACGCTTGTACCACGGTATTACTCCCGACAACCCAAGCTGCCTGTTAGGCGCTAGAAGGTTACAGTCACATGACTTATCCTGCCGGGTACCCATTTTCTGCCGGGTGAACAGAGGCAATTTTGAACAAACTCACTTGCCTAAGGTGAGACCACATGTATCACATGTGCTTCTTTGTGGGCAGGACTGAAGTCCTAAAAACTCTCAGGAGTCAAGCTAAACACGGTCACCCATCCAAGGTTCGCTCCCGACGTTGCTTAACTTCAACTGATATTGACCTGCGCTCTATGCATAGGCCCACTCACCACCACATAAGAGGTTGACAAACGTAAAATGTAATAGTTAGGGACATTAGACGTGGGATTGAAGGCAATGAAAGTGTTTTAGCTGTTGGTTACCCTCGACCAATATTGGAATGGCCACTGTCATCTTTTTCCTTTAATCATTTTTAGGAGCCATATATTCATGAGTTACCATGAGTGCGCGAGTGAGTTTAGTTTTACGCCGCACTAAGCAGTATTCCAGCTATATGGCTGCGGTCTGTAAATAATCCAGTCTGGACCAGGCAATCCAGTGATCAACGTCATGAGCATCGATCACATCGATGGTGTACGATGACATATGTCAACCAAGTCAGAGAGCCTGTCAACCCGATCCCGTTAGTAGCCTCTTACGATAAGCTTGGGTTACAAGAGATCAAATCTAACCCGGATCTTCACGAATGTACAATTTACCATGCAGTTAGTATACGAAATTCCCTTACGTTAATGATTGTTAAAATGCTTGTTTAGTGGATTTCATTTAGAGGAGGGCTTGTATAGGTCATTGGTATATATGCCCCCTTCCTGTGGTTTCTTCGCTTCTATTAAGGTGAGGTGAGGTGAAATTTGGGTTTTACGTCGTGCTCGAGAATATTTCGCTCATATGACGACGTGCATGCGTGTGTATGTGTATGTGCGGCTGCTTGTACTAGCTCAGACTTAAGCTGGTTTTATAGTGCTAGCCCACTGAGATACCATGCCGCAGTGAAGCAGGAATACCCCACTCAGACACATTATACTGACTCCGAGCCGACCAGTCCTTGTTGTACCCATTAATGCCGAGCGCCAGGCAGGGACCAACAAGTACCATATTTTAACGTCTTTTGGTATATCATAACATTGTTTCATGTGGTAAAATGGGGTGTTATATCTCGTTTCATATGTTAAACCAGAATGTTGTGTTTCATGTGATAAAATAGTGTTAGAACATTTGTACTGAATGTTACAATATTGTGCTGGAACCACGTTCAGTGTATCATGTGTTCAAATATTATTATGTTATTGTTTCACGTGTTGAAATAAGTCTTGAAACATTGTTTCCTATGTTTAAAAGTGTGTTATTACAATATGTCATATGTCCCATGCATATACACACTCTCGTAACCTTGATTCGTGGATATAAGGGAAGTGCGGCGGAATTCATGTTTTAAATGCATGATTTCATTTTGTATACGCCCTTATTATTTTATTCATTGATTCAGCATGAATGAAACGTTTGTTTATGGAAGCCATTTGCAATCATCACCCATTCATGTGCCCACAAAATGTGACGTCACCTTGTTCAATTTTTGTTACGAGGGAGGAGTGCAGAGAAAGGGACAGCCAGGTGTTAGAGAAGCACGTGCACGAGTGCCGACAAAGTGCACGTCTCCATCCTTTCACGCACACCCGGCTGTCCCTTTCTCTGCACTCCTCCCTCGTAACAAATAGTGAACTGTGTCAATATTTTAATGATAGTTTGTTAAACAACTTTTTTATTTTTAGGACATAAATTCTGCAAACACCTCTCAGAGTTGGTCTGACGTTTTCATTATGATCAGTTTTTCATTGAGTATTTTATGTTTATAAGTTTTCGAGTTAGATTGCAATTCATCTGTCCCCTTTTGAGCCAAATGGACTATAGTCACGAATGAAAAAAGCGGAATCAGTCCTATAAAACTAATAATCAACATCGCAAACAATTGAAACTCTTTTATCTTGTCGTTGTACAAAAATGCTACTATTCTTTTTAGCATATTTACTTCTGATGAATTGCAACTCAAATTTGCATAGTTTGTCGTCACGCCCTGTTGAATCTTCTGCAAACGTTGCAGTGTTGAGCAGGATAAGAATCCTTACAAAGAAAGTGGTATGGGTGGAGGAAATCTACCACCAAGTGCACAAAGATCAAACTTTATCCTACATTCAGTTCAGGACAGACCTGATATAGCAGGGGAGTATTTGAGTGAGTGAGAGAGTTTAGTTTTACGAAGCACGCAGCAATATTCCAGCTACATGGCGGCGGTCTATACATAATCGAGTCTGGACCAGACAATCCAGTTATCAACAGCATGAGCATCGATCTGCGCAATTGAGAATCGATGACATGTGTCAACCCAGTCAGCGACCACCCGATCCCGTTAGTCGCCTCTTACGACAAGCATGGGTTACCAAAGATCAATTCTAACCCGGACCTTCCCGGGTAGTTTTTGAGACAAATCGAATTCATACTATACTTCGCAAAGGACTGCTTAAATATTGCTCATTTCAGAAATGTATATGTACTGTTCCGGCAAAACATTTGAATTTTCAAATTTGTACACCACTAACCTACACGATAAGTTCAAAGCAAAAACCCTATTCCCCGAACAACTGAACATCTGCGCTTGAATATAAAAGCGGCGTAAAACCAGACTCACTCATTCACTCACTCACACGCAAAACCCACACTATCACTGAACCAGTACCAAAAGGTTCAGAGGCAGGGGTCGCCTCCTGGTGATATGCCTCCTTACGGCGTCTCCATAACCTACAACAGCCGTAACGTGTGGAAGATAATAGAAACTATCACAGAACAAAGGACCGAACGCCATGTCCTAAGATGGCGGTTTTCCTGGAGCCGGCACCATGCCAGACGTTCCTGCATGTAACCGTCTCGAGAAACGGAGATCTGACGGGACGCCATTCCTCCAGGCCGCAGTCTCCTAATGGTACTGGTGGAGAGTTATGCCAGCCCTTGCCGACGTGACTGAACTGTCTTTACACTCAGGTCGCATTAAGGTGCAGCATTTACATATTGTCTTACCTCACACTTAAATGTCGTTTTCTAATTGGCGGAGCGCTCTTCTATTATGTAACATTTTTAATGTTACCCTCTGGGAATACCGAACTGCGGGAATTCATTTGGTACATCGTGTTATTTATTTTTCATCTCGAATAATTGAGTCACGTATGATGTACGGAAATTACCGATGTTTTGTAAATGCAAATCACTGGAAGGAGATAAATCTAAATGTGTTTTCTTGCCACCTGTTAGATTCTATGCCATCTGAAAATCTAGTATTGGCTAATTGCCTAACTCTAGTACTCATTATTATGATCCGATACCCGTGCTTCAAACAGTTCAAAATTAACATTGAGGTGTTCGGTAAGATAAATGCGATTTTCACTGGCCCCTCGGGTCCCATGGGTTGATGCACCCTCTATGCACCACCGCTCTATGCACCACCGCTTCCTCCAGTATATTAATGCGTGACGCTCATAGCGTAGCAGCACCAAAACGTCTTCTCCAGTATATTAATGCGTGACTGACACTCATATCGTAGCGTAGCAGCCAAAAAACGTCTTTCTCTCCAGTAGAGTATTTGAAGAAAGGATAAAGTTCATAAGTTGTGACGCTGGAAAGATTCCACGGACGCGGCTTGTCGGAGTGTAAGCAGCCTGTGTAAAAACGTCTATGTCCTCTTTAGTATAATAAATGCGTGACACTCATAGTGTAGCACTTGAAAGCGAAATACGTCTCAGCTCCAGGATAATAATGCATGAATCCTCTGGACTTGGACATATCGTAGCGTAGATGTCTTGGTGTGAGCATCAAATATCAGAATGAATCAATATTTCTCCTTACCAGAGTATGTGTTTCCATGGATAAATTTGCGTCTTTCACGACACTGCTTTCATTACCCACTACCAACGAAGACACATCCACCTTAGCAGTGCTACTGGTGATCCACACAGCAAAACCTCGGTCTTACTGTTATTTAATCTCAGCTTCCTTTGTATCATCCATGCTTTGGAGTCGAGGATACAGTCTTCGATTATAGACATATCGGCTGGAAGTGAGTCCGGTTTAGTGGAACGCAACAGCTGGGTGTCATCAGATGACTCGTCTCACAACATGGAATGATATTGCGTAGATGTCGTGAGCGTCATCTCCACCAGTATAATAATGCGTGACGCTCAAAGGGTAGCCACCAAAACGACTTCTCCAGTATAATAAAGCGTGACACTCATAGTGTAGCCACCAACACGACTTCTCCAGGATAATAATGCGTGAGGCTCATAGCGTAGCCACCAAAACGTCTCCTCCAGTACACTTAAGCGTGACACTCATAGTGAGCCAACAAAACGCCTCCTCCAGTATAATAATTGCGTGACACTTATAGCGTAGCAGCCAAAACGTCTCCTCCAGTATAATAATGCGTGACACTCATAGTGTAGCCACCAAAACGACTCCTCCAGCATAATAATGCGTGACACTTATAGTGTAGCCACCAAAACGCCTCCTCCAGTATAATAAGGCGTGACACTCATAGTGTAGCAGCCATGACATCTCCTCCAGTAAAATAAGGCGTGACGCTCATAGGGTAGCAGCCAAAACGACATCTCCAGTATAATAATGCGTGACACTCATAGTGTAGCAGCCAAAACGCCTCCTCCAGTATAATAATGTGTGACACTCATAGTGTAGCCGCCATGACATCTCCTCCCGTATAATAATGCGTGACGCTCATAGAGTAGCCACGAAAACGACTTCTAGAGTAGATTAATTTGTGACGCTCATAGTGTAGCAGCCAAAACGTCTCCTCCAGTATAATAAAGCGTGACACTCATAGTGTAGCCAACAAAACGACTTCTCCGGTATAATAATGCGTGACGCTCATAGCGTAGCCACCAAAACGTCTCCTCCCGTATAACAATGCGTGACACTCATAGTGTAGCCACCAAAACGTCCCTTCCAGTATAATAATGCGTGACATTCATAATGTAACCACCAAAACGTCTCCTCCAGTATAATAAGGCGTGACGCTCATAGTGTAGCCACCAAAACGCCTCTTCCAGTATAATAATGGGTGACACTTAGAGGGTAGCAGCCAAAACGTCTCCTCCAGTATAATAATGCGTGACACTCATAGTGTAGCCAGAGTGTAGCCAAAACGCCTTTTCCAGTATAATAATGCGTGACACTCATAGTGTAGCCACCAAAACGCCTTCTCCAGTTTAATAATGGGTGACACTCATAGTGTAGCCACCAAAACGCCTCCTCCAGTATAATAATGCGTGACACTCATAGTGTAGCCACCAAAACGGCTCTTCCAGTATAACAATGCGTGACACTCATAGTGTAGCCACCAAAACGCCTCCTCCAGTATAGTAATGGGTGACACTTAGAGCGTAGCAACCAAAACGTCTTCTCCAGTATAATAATGAGTGACACTCATAGTGTAGCAGCCAAAACGTCTCCTCCAGTATAATAATGCGTGACACTCATAGTGTAGCAGCCAAAACGTCTCCTCCAGTATAATAATGCGTGACTCTTATAGTGAAGCAGCCAAAACGTCTCCTCCAGTATAATAATGCGTGACACTCGTAGTGTAGCAGCCAAAACGCCTCCTCCAGTATAATAATGCGTTACACTCATAGTGTAGCAGCCATGACATCTCCTCCAGTGTAATAATGCGTGACGCTCATAGGGTAGCCACCAAAACGACTGCTCCAGTATGATAATGCGTGACGCTCATAGGGTAGCAGCAAAAACGACTTCTCCAGTACAATAAAGCGTGACGCTCATAGGGTAGCAGCCAAATCGTCTCCTCCAGTACAATAAAGCGTGACGCTCATAGTGTAGCCATCAAAATGAATTCTCCGGTATAATAATGCGTGACGATCATAGCGTAGCAGCCAAAACGTCTCCTTCAGTATAATAAAGAATGACATTCATAATGTAGCCTCCAAAACGTCTCCTCCAGTATAATAAAGCGTGACATTCATAATGTAGCCTCCAAAACGTCTCCTCCAGTATAATAAGGCGTGACGCTCATAGTGTAGCCACCAAAACGCCTCTTCCAGTATAATAATGCGTGACGCTCATAGTGTAGCCACCAAAACGCCTCTTCTCCAGTATAATAATGCGTGACACTCATAGTGTAGTTACCAAAACGCCTCCTCCAGTATAATAATGCGTGACAATCATAGTGTAGCCACCAAAACGCCTTTTCCAGTATGATAATGCGTGACACTCAAAGTGTAGCCACCAAAACGCCTCTTCTCCAGTATAATAATGCGTGACACTCATAGTGTAGCCACCAAAACGTCTCTTCCAGTATAATAATGCGTGACACTCATAGTGTAGCCGCCAAAACGCCTCTTCTCCAGTATAATAATGCGTGACAATCATAGTATAGCCAAAAATACGCCTTTTCCAGTATGATAATGCGTGACACTCATAGTGTAGCAACCAAAACGCCTCCTCCAGTATAATAATGCGTGACACTCATAGTGTAGCAGCCAAAACGCCTCTTCTCCAGTATAATAATGCATGACACTCATAGTGTAGTTACCAAAACGCCTTTTCCAGTTTGATAATGCGTGACGCTCATAGTGTAGCCACCAAACGTCTCTTCCAGTATAATAATGCGTGACACTCAAAGTGTAGCCGTCAAAACGCCTCTTCTCCAGTATAATAATGCGTGACACTCATAGTGTAGCCACCAAAACGTCTCTTCCAGTATAATAATGCGTGACACTCAAAGTGTAGCCGTCAAAACGCCTCTTCTCCAGTATAATAATGCGTGACAATCATAGTGTAGCCAACAATACGCCTTTTCCAGTATGATAATGCGTGACACTCATAGTGTAGCCACCAAAACGCCTCCTCCAGTATAATAATGCGTGACACTCATAGTGTAGACACCAAAACGCCTCCTCCCGTATAATAATGCCTGACACTCATAGTGTAGCCACCAAAACGTCTCCTCCAGTATGATAATGCGTGACACTCATAGTGTAGCTGCCAAAACGTCTCCTCCAGTATAATAATGCGTGACACTCCATAAACGTCTGTAGCCTTGACACTCATGGTGTAGCAGCAAAACGTCTCTTCTGCAGTATAATAAATGCGTGACACTCATAGTGTAGTGTAGCAATCATAGTATAGCCAAAACGCCTTCTCCAGTATGATACATGCGTGACGCCTCATAGTGTAGCAACCAAAACGCCTCCTCCAGTATAATAATGCGTGACGCTCATAGTGTAGCCGCCAAAACGCCTCTTCTCCAGTATAATAATGCGTGACACTCATAGTGTGTAGCCACCAAAACGTCCCTTCCAGTATGATAATGCGTGACTTTAGTGTAGCCGCCAATGTATAATAATGCGTGACACTCAAAGTGTAGCGTCAAAACGCCTCTTCTCCAGTATAATAATGCGTGACACTCATAGTGTAGCCACCAAAACGTCTCTTCCAGTATGCGTGACATCAAAGTGCGTGACAATGCTCATATAGTGTAGCCACCAAAACGCCTCCTCCAGTATAATAATGCGTGACACTCATAGTGTAGCCACCAAAACGCCTCCTCCAGTATAATAATGCGTGACACTCATAGTGTAGCCACCAAAACGCCTCTCCTCCAGCCTACACTCATATAAAAACGCGTGACACTCATAGTGTAGCCACCAAAACGTCTCCTCCAGTATAATAATGCGTGTACACTCATAATGCTGTAGCCACCAAAACGTCTCCTCCAGTATAATAATGCGTGACGCTCATAGTGTAGCCACCAAAACGCCTCCTCCAGTATAATAATGCGTGACACTCATAGTGTAGCCACCAAACGTCTCCTCCAGTATAATAATGCGTGACACTCATAGTTTAGCCGCTCATAGTGTAGCCTCTTCTCCAAACGTCTCCTCAAGTATAATAATGCGTGACGCTCATAGTGTAGCCACCAAAACGTCTCCTCCAGTATATATAATGCGTGACACTCATAGTGTAGCCACCAAAACGTCTCGTCTGACACTCCAGTATAATAATGCGTGACACTCATAGTGTAGCAGCACCAAAACCTCCTCCAGTATAACGTGACTCATAGTGTAGCCACCAAAACGTCTCCAGTATAATAATGCGTGACACTCATAGTGTAGCCACCAAAACGTAGTATAATAATGCGTGACACTCATAGTGTAGCCAAAAACGTCTCCTCCAGTATAATAATGCGTGACTCATAGTGTAGCAGCCAAAACGTCTCCTCCAGTATAATAATGCGTGACACTCATAGTGTAGACACCAAAAGCAGCCAAAACGTCTTCTCCAGTATAATAATGCGTGACACTCATTAGTGTAGCCACCAAAACGTCTCCTCCAGTATAATAATGCGTGACACTCAAAGTGTAGCCACCAAAACGCCTCCTCCAGAATAATAATGCGTGACACTTATAGCGTAACAGGCAAATTCTCACCTAGTGAGGAACATTTCCAATATCGCGTACAGAAAAGCAACTGCGTAGTTTTCGATGACATGGTGTCAAGATCAAAACCGACCAAACCCGTGCCATAGAGTATTGTATCGTCATCAAAGTTATTTGCCATTGTTTCTATTTCCAGCTGTTGTATGTCATTGTCGCCAACTGTATCGTCCACAATGAGACACTAGCTAGACAGTTGATACTCTATATATGTAGGCATACAACCTGTTGCCAAATGATCACAGGTTAAGCCATCTTGGACGTAGGTGCAGGCAAATAGCCGAGTTCATTTCAATGGTCCACTGGCCTTCCACGCCCGGATAACGACACACAAAAGTGATGTTCATATTTTTTTACACGGCAGATTGTAAAATACATTTGATCTGAATTCATGAATCTATAATTCATCAGAAGTTGAACTATGAATGGAGGATTAAAACTTAATGAATTAATAAGAATGAATTATTTTCATGCTGGAATTGAAACTGAATTGATCAGAAAGCGGCTTGAAGCAGATGAAGCATTTCAGTAGGAAACCAGACACCGAAACGACATGCGCTGTCACACATAAACCATATTTATTGTCCCCAAGGTTTAACGAGGGACGATTTTAGGTTCATATTCCAACTAATTTACATGAATCAGTATGTATATTCTTTTGATTTAACTGAATATGCAGATTCTCTGGTATTGCCACAGAATACGCTCCAACGTGTGGACAGACAAACAGGTATTTGTAAGTGCTCCAACAGACAATTTTAACAACCAAGCAAAAGATCCCAGGTAAGACTTGACATTACAATCCTCAGTTAAAAATGTTACATGTGTACAAATCGGGCGGTGGGATAGCCTAGTGGTTAAAGCGTTCGCTCGTCACGTCCAAGATTCGGGTTCGATGACCTACATGGGTACAAAGTGTGAAACCCATTTCTGGTGTCCCCCGCCGTGATATTGCTGGAATATTGCTAAAAGCGGCGTAAAACTAAACTCACTAACTAAATCGTTCGCTCAGCACGGAGAAAACGCGGGTTCGATTTCCTACATGGGTACAATGTGTGAAGCCCATTTCTGGTGTCCCCCGCCGTGATATTGCTGGAATATTGCTAAAAGCGGCGTAAAACTAAACTCACTAACTAAATCGTTCGCTCAGCACGGAGAAAACACAGGTTCGATTTCCTACATGGGTACACAGTGTGAAGCACATTTCTGGTGTCCCCCACCGTGATATTGCTGGAATATTGCTAAAAGCGGCGTAAAGCTAAACTCACTTACTAAATCGTTCGATCCGCACGGAGAAAACACGGGTTCGAATTACCCACATGGGTACAATGACTGTGATTTCCCACATGGGTACAATGACTGTGTGAAGCCCATTTCTGGTGTCCCCCACCGTGATATTGCTGGAATATTGCTAAAAGCGGCGTAAAACTAAACTCACTAAATCAAACGTTCGCTCGGCACGGAGAAAACACGGGTTCGATTTCCCACATGGTAGTGATGGTCCGATTAATTGAAATAATCGAAGATTGGTCGCAATGACTAAACGACCAAGCAATCGATCATGTTTTCTCATAATCGAACACAAAGAACTCTGGAACACTTGTTTGCATTTACAATATTTTTTACAATGGTTTTGTCTGTTACATTTCATAAACATTACAAGCTCGTTCTAAGTCAGGATTGAATTTATCTTAAAGACTCCAGGATATTTATGTTCCTAACATACTAGTCATCCTTTAAAGATGTTAAATTTGCACATGCATTTTGTGGAATTTACAAAAAGACTCATAAGAACTACATGTTTTTTCTTTGTTTATTGTGCAGTAACAAACATAACCAGAAAAATTTGATCAATGATGCTGACCAATTATTTTCGATGATTGATCGGTTGTAATGAACAAATCATCAATTATGAGATTTTATCCAATTCCCAACACTACCACATGGGTACAATGACTATGTGAAGCCCATTTCTGGTGTCCCCCGCCGTGATATTGCTGGAACGTTGCGGCGTAAAACCAGAACTCTTCACTTATGGGTGCAGTACTGGGTAGAGTTGGGTTTAACGCCGATTGGACTGTTCAGTAAAATGTCATCATAATCTAGATGTCGCGTTATCACCTTACTATGGCAATCAAAAAGTGTCAAAATTAACCCAGAAGAGAGACAATATCATAATTTCCCTTTGAGGATTCCACGGACAACTGTATTGACATACCAAGGATCATTAGGTTTTGGGCACTATGACCTATCCATGAGATGCGGTGGGGATGCTGATCATAACACGTTCCAGAATGCTTGCCCTATGAGTCCCGTGAATATCCGGGTTAGAATTGATCTTCAGTAACCCATGCCTGTCGTAAGAGACGACTAACGGGATCGGGTGGTCAGGCTCGCTAACTTGGTTGACACCTGTCATCGTATCCCAATTGCGTAGATTGATGCTCATGCTGTTGATCACTGGAGTGTTTGGTCCAGACTCGATTATTTACAGACCTCCGCCATATAGCTGGAATAATGCTCAGTGCGGTGTTAAACAACAAACCAATTTACCTCATGAATCTGGTAAGTACAGTTCACTTGCGTGTGCAGGTACATGATGATTGCAATCTCCCGACGGTCCAAGCTGATCCAGACCTTCTGGCTGTTCTGGGCCTTCAACCACAGGGTAAGCCAAACATGAACCACACATCCTTATGTATCAAATTGTATTCTCCAAATGTGGGATGTAAATATTCACCGGAGACATTACTTGTAACCTATTATGCTCTCTTTTAAAAGTACGGACATCTGAAATGCGTGCACACACGCACATACATATGTGATTTTCAAGTAATAGCACGAAATAAACGACAAATATCCTTTGCATGAACACCAAAACACATGACGTAGCATGAACACCAAAACACATGACGTAGTTTCCATATGTCGTACGCAGCCGCACACACATCCGTAGCGCGTCATTCCTAATTCGGACACTTTCACGTCGTCAGTCTTTCCTAATATTCCCACTGTCCTGGGAATGTGATTAATCCCAATGAATCATCAGTTCTTATTGATTCTGGATACCACTTATGGATACTATACAATAGTCATTGGGGTCATTAAGTACACTTGTGGATGTCATGAATAGTCAAAATGTACTTAACGACCCCAATGACAATTGTACGGGATCCATAAGTGTACGGAATGACCCCAGTGATCCTGACATCCACATGCGTACTTAATGACCCCAATGTCTAGTCCATGACATCTACAAGTGTACTTAATGACCCCAGTGACTATCCATGGCATCCACAAGCGTACCTAATGACACACGACATCCACAAATGAACTTAATGACCCCAATGACAATTCATGACATCTACAGATGCACTGAATGGCGTCAATGTCTCTCTCATGAAATAAACAGATGAACTGCTTATTTCAGGGCATCCACAACTGTATCCTAGGCCCTACCCTTCTGGATCTGCAGCTTCTTCTCCAGAAGGACCTGGATGCCCTGTCCTATCTGTTCTTTGCCAGTGGTCTGGGGTCTATGCTTGGGGCTCTGGCTGCTGGCTTCCTGGCGTCCAGGTTTGATCACCGTCTCCAGCTGTTCCTCAGCCTGGCGGTCGGATGTGTCACGGTGGCAGCCATCCCGCAGGTTCATAATCTCTTCTACATGTACTTCATGGTCTTTGTGTTCGGCCTAACCCGAGGACTGGTGGTATGCTGTGAGTATTTGTGATGGCCCTTATCATATTAAGCATCTCAGAACAAAAAAAGATTATTTCTTTAAGTGCCATAATGATTTGAGGTGAGGTGGTGAGGTGAAATTGGGTTTAACGGCGCTTGAGAATATTTCGCTCATATGACGACGTGCATGCGTGTGTATGTGTATGTGGGGCTGCTTGTACTAGCCCAGACTTAAGCTGGTTTTATAGTGCTAGCTCACTGAGGTACCATGCCGCAGTGAAGCATGAATACCCCACTCAGACACATTATACTGACTCCGAGCCGACCACTCCTTGTTGTACCCATTAATGCCGAGCGCCAGGCAGGGACCAACAAGTACCATATTTTAACGTCTTTTGGTATGACGCGGCCGGGGATCGAACCCGCGACCTTCCGCTCTCCGGGCGGACGCTCTAACCACTACACCACGGAGGCGGTCCATAATGATTTGAAAGCTGGTACGATGCAGAGGAATATAATTTATGGAAATACACCTTCTTTATTGCAATAAATGCGACCTTTCGGTTTAGATACTAACATCGTTATCATCACTTGGTAAATAGCCTCACCGTTTATAACGGTGTAAGCATCTACGCCGAAACGTCACATGTTGTGCAATAAAGAAGTTGTTATTCTATAAAATTTGTTCCTCAGGTGAGAAATAACTGAATGTCATCCCTTTGTAATATGCACTCAGAATTTGCTCGACAAGGTGCACGCAATTGGTTATTATGTCACTTACGATTGGTAAATTGTTTCATACGCTTTTACGACCCTAATTCCATGCTATTTTCTTTAATACAATGCATATGCAAGACGGACAAGTATTCTCAGAATCATCTGAAGTTGCAGGAATGAAACTTTGCAAGCTGAACTGAGAAATACTCATATTAAAATTGGTACCTTAATTTGGTATTTTAGAGATTTAGGCCCTTACTACATGATTTGTTAAGACTTTTGCCATCCAGTCTTCCAAGACGCCATTGTTCCAGAGAAACAACATGAAAGCTTGCATCTATTTTCCTATTACTGGCCATTTCCATAAATTCCTCCTTTTCCTCTGCGATCGAGAGTTCTGTAACCGTATAAGATCACAGTGGCGGCCATATAGAGACAGATTTTCTTCTTATATAAATTAAATTTAAAGAAACATTTGCAACAAGAAGACCTGCAGATCAGTAGGCAAAGTCAGAAAATATACACTGCTGAATAAATTTTACGTTTCTAAATAGATGGTATGATTAGAAGATAACTGACCATTTGGTTGATATTGACCATCATTGTACGCCGTTGATCAGCCGTTGTCTATCTGTGACGTAATTACACAACGTTTCTATTCCAGTTGTGATGCAGATATGCGGCGAGCTGTGGGAGAAGAAAGGACCACCATTCCAGTTCGTGGCTTGTGGAACATCAGTGGGGGCCATTTTGGCTCCTTTAATCGCCAAGCCCTTCCTTTGCCCATATCAGACAGCCCCAACCGATTCCGTCAACCAGAGCACATCATTGTCTCTCACCAATTCAACCAGTCTTGTGCACGTATTGGACTCGATCATCTCCGAGCAGGGTGTGGGAATGAACACCGAGTGTACGGCCGAAGATACCCGAGTGCAATGGGCCTTCCTAGTTCTGGCTTGCTACATGCTCCCCGCGGCATTATCACAGCTGTACTACTGGCTGTTTTATCGAGCTATCCGACTTCAACAGGTTGCCAAGACACCGGACTATGTTGAACTCGACCATCAAGAAGAATTCAAGTTCAAACCCATCCATCTCGTCTTCTTCTTTGCCCTATGTGTCATGTACATTCTTCTCAGTTCATTACCAGCAACCTATTCCGCCATCTTGACCGTGTACGGAGTTACAGGGCCATTGCGCATGTCCAAGGATGATATGGTGACGATGACGTCACTGTTCTGGTTGGGATCATTGGTCTGTAGGCTCTTAAGTGGGTTCTACACTCGGCGGTTCTCCAACTTTCAAGTTATTACAGCTCATTTGTCAGGCCTGGTTGTCGTCGGGATCATCTTCGTCAGTCTAGGGAGCAGGTTTCCTGTCGCGCTGTGGATATTATCGCCAACAGTAGGATATTTCTCCGCACCCTACCTTGCTGGTGTTCTGGCGTGGGTAACAGACTTTCTACATCTGCATCCGAAAATTACTTCCCTTTGCTTTCTGGCATCCGGTGCTGGTAACATGCTCTTCCCCTTCTTTGGGGGCATCCTGTTCAATGACTACGGTCCCTACACCTACCTGTATTTGATTTTCAGTATCATGCTAGGTATCGCAGTTACATATGCTTGCTTGGCCTCCCTCTCTAAGGCCCTGCCGTTGTCTAAGGACAGATCTAATGACCATGATTAGAAACTGTTTGATAAAATTACGCTGAAATATTTTCGACCGATTATATATTTCGGAAGAGTATTACACAGGAAATTATGGCACTCTTATGTGCACTCTTGATATACAGAAGAGTGAGTTTAGTTTTACGCAGCTTTCAGCAATATTCTAGCAATACCACGGCGTGAGATACCAGGAATGAGCTTCCCACATTGTACTAACGTGGGCAATCGAAACCGAGCCATCGGCAGTGGATACCAGAAATTGACTTCACGGATTGTACCCTTGTGTGGAATCGAATCCGGATCTTCAGCGTGACGAGTGAACGTTTTATCTACTCGGCTACACCACCTCCCCAACATTCAGAAGATGGGACAAGTGAAATGTGATGGAAAAACATTAATGAGGCACTTGTTTCATGGAATGTCGACATGTGTGAGACGTTTCATCGAGCCGGATTTGTGTAACTTTTTACATGTTAGCAAACAACGCACGTGACTCTATTTAACGTATTCGTAATACATGGTTATTGTTATTGTAACTACAGTGGGTTAGCTAGTATGTTTATGATTATGATTATGTATGCTTAACAAGAGCCAGAAAGGTCAGGACGGCGCAATTGCCTGCGTTATGCTTGGACGGAAGGCATGTCATGAACCAGTCTGTTTGATGTAACAGTACGTATATACGTGAACCTACAGGTTGGTCAGCTTGACCTGAGCTACTCTACATATGCATGGCCCGGGTGGTCAAATGGCACAAATTACGGTCGAGTTAACTTCATTAAGTAGGGGAGCAGAGAATGTTACTAATGTCGCTACTGCTACTGGCTACCTAAAACCTCGAATCGGAAACAGTAAACCATCTGTAGCTTCTTTTTTAAAGAAAGTTAGGACATTGCTGACGATTTCTCGACACTGAGATGTCAAACGTCGACCTTGTCTCGACTGTTCGGACATGTTGACAATCAACTGACAAAGGTGCACCCCTTCACAATAATAGACTCAACCAGCTGTGACACGGTCACGCATTGCATTAGTATTCACTTGATCAGGTCAAGCTGAACAAGCTGTATGTGTTTCGATGTTACAGTTTATATGTATAAACTAATTGGTTGCACTTTTTTAGCATGTACATAAACCAACCAATTTCTATGTTACAATATGAGCATGAACCAATATATCACTGATACAGTATGTGCATGAACCAAATGGTTGCAGCGTTGAAGTATATATGTATGTATAAATCAATATATTGCTATGTTACAGTATATGCAAGAACCAAAATATTGCTACATGTATGTTAAAGTATGTGCATGAACCAGTTGGGTGCAGTGTTAAACTATATATGTATGAATCAATGTACTGCTATGTTACAGGATGTGCATCTTGTTATGTTACAGTATATGAATAATTCGATGCTGTTACAGTAAATGCATGAACCAACATTTTTCGATGTTACGGTATGTACATTGAATATATATTTCTTTATTACAAATTGTGCCTGAACCTGTTGGTTGCCATGTTGCAGTATATGCGTGAAAAATGTAATCCATCGTTGAGGCCTTTGGTATTCTGACTGAGGGCCAAAAATGTATTTAGATGGACCGCATATATATGTGATACACTATGTTTTGGTCAAATAAAGATAGGTAGGTAGGTTTCAAACCTCCAGCTTTGGAGATACAAAATAAAATAAATATTAAAAGCTTAAATTGTATGTGAAGACACTATGTTTTCTTAATAATGGTCAAATGAAGATAGGTTGGTAGGTTTCAAACCTCCAGCTTTGGAGATACAAAATAAAATAAATATTAAAAGCTTAAATTGTATGTGAAGACACTATGTTTTCTTAATAATGGTCAAATGAAGATAGGTTGGTAGGTTTCAAACCTCCAGCTTTGGAGATACAAAATAAAATAGAAATTAAAAGCTTAAATTGTATGTGAAGACACTATGTTTTCTTAATAATGGTCAAATGAAGATAGGTAGGTAGGTTTAGTTCCTCCAGCTTTGGAGATACAAAATAAAATATATATTAAAAGCTTAAATTGTATGTGAAGACACTATGTTTTCTTAATAATGGTCAAATGAAGATAGGTTGGTAGGTTTAATTCCTCCAGCTTTGGAGATACAAACTAAAATAAATATTAAAAGCTCAAATTGTTAGTGTTGAAATTGTATGATAGATCAATTAGAGTCTTTAAAGAGTGAAACTGGACCCATTGAAACCAGATGCAAACTGTCCAACAAGTAGCAGCAGTTGTATGGTGTAAATGTCATACGTGTGACGTCTGAGCAGCACTTCGGTTCTCTGTTCCATATTGTCCGACAGAACATACGTGTCTACACCGAATTTGTCCAGAATGTCCAGCAACATGGTTTCTGGTCTTGCGCCTACCACAAGGGTGGATAGTTAGTTGGTTGTTTAACGCCACGATATTCCAGTAATTGTGAATAATCAAGTCTGGACCAGACAATCCAGTGATCAACACCATAAGCATCAATCTATGCATTTAGAAAACGATAACATGTAGCAACCAAGTCAGCGATCTATTCCACCGGCCACCGACTAGTCGGCTGTTGCGACAACCGTGGGTTGACGAAGACCAATTCCAACAAGGATCTAACGGGTTCAGTAACCAACAAATACATGTATATTAACATTGTGTTTCGGGCAAAATAAAACGGTACAGATTATTAATGTTCTACATAACAGTGAGACTAGACCAATCTGCAAGTCGACAAAATACCCTATTCGACGTTTTAGGTACCTTAGAGTGAGTGAGTGAGTGAGTATGGTTTAACGCCGTTTTTAGCAATATTCCAGCAATATCACGGCGGGGAACACCAGAAATGAGGTACCTTAGAAGGTGAGTCCGAATCCCCAAATGGCCCTGATCATGCATATAGTCTTGTCGGCACCACAGCCCTTATCATGTGTTCAACTAAACTGGTAGACGTTCAAGGGCTGCATCGCTTCAAGTCCCCCTCCCCCCTCCCCCCCCATCAAGCTGACACTTCGTAATGAATACAAATTAGCACTCCATGATATCCAAGCGCCATTATCACACAGACAGCAAATCTATGAATATGAACACATTTTATACGTAGTATTTTTATAAGGCATTGGATAAATATTTACTCTGATCGATGCCATCTGTGATGCATAAGAATATGTAATCATCCAAGTGGTATGTAAGGTTGGTTGGTTGGTTGATGAACGCCGCACTCTGCAATATTCCAGCTATATGGCGATGGTCTGTAAATAATCGCGTCTGGACCAGACTATCCAGTGATCAACATCATGAGCATCGATCTGTGCAGTTGAGATATGATGGCATGTGTCAACCAAGTCTGACCACCCAATCCCGTTAGTCACCTCTTACGAACAAGCATGGGTTGCTGAAGATCAATTCTCAGCCGGATCTTATCTGCTATGAAAGAAAACAGGCTTCACGTGGATTTCTGAGCGGGACCATATACCTCATGCATCCTGCTGCAGACTGAGGAAAAAGTGTTTACGAGTCGAGGAAAGGGACGTGAGACATCACCTCCACTCAATTGACCAGCTGTTGTCTATCCATCTTCTATTTGTATTAATTCTTTGACAGTTTTAGCCTGAGGGATGTTGGTAACATAGTTGTAGCCTCTGGCTCGTGGTATAAAACCTATCACGGGACACATAAAACCACGTACAGCCAGAGCGGCTACAACTGTCAATATGCGGTAAACTAGGTTTATAACGAACTGACGGATATAACGAACTGACGGATATAACGAGCTGACGGATATAACGAACTGGCGGATATAACGAACTGACGGATATAACGAACTGGCGGATATAACGAACTGGCGGATATAACAAGCTGACGGATATAACGAACTGGCGGATATAACGAGCTGACGGATATAACGAACTGACGGATATAACGAAATGAGGGATGTGACGAGCTGACGGATATAACGAGCTGGCGGATATAACGAGCTGACGATATAACGAACTGGTGGATATAACGAACTGACGGATATAACGAACTGACGGATGTAACGAACTGGCGGATATAACGAACTGGCGGACATAACAAACTGACGATGTAACGAACTGACGGATATAACGAGTTCGGCATATCCGTAGTTTACTATACAGATTTTGTCAGTTCATGGCGTTGTTGAGTGAAACCTATACTCTTCCAAAAAAAGTAGGGGTACCTGAACTTTCAATCTGGATAGGAAGAATCAACGTTAACAAACGTTTCAAAGACAGACATCGTATGAACGCACGACCATTTCTCTTTATCACCACCCCTAAACACAACGCATGAGATGCACGTGCACAACGCAGTAGCCCCATACGCGTGCATGGGGTGTCATTCTTAATTTTGATGGTTTTCAAGAAGGTCGATAAATCACTGTAGACCATTAATTTAGACAATCATCTTGCATCATACAGTTGTTAGTGTTTGTTTTTAGCTTTTTTCTGTTTGAAAAGGGGCGGTGAGGTAGCCTAGTGGTTAAAGCGTTAGCTTGTCACGCCGAAGACCCGGGCGGCGTAAAACCATACTCAGTCAGTCAGTCTGTTTGAAAAAGTAAATTTCACGTCATAAACCAATCATATTTCTAAGATGCTTCGGTGAAAGATCAAAGGCGCCGACGGTACTTTATCAGACGATAATGTGCACTTTTTGCATTACGTCACAATGTATTGGCGTCACTTCGCTATTCTAGTTTGCCCCCTCGTAAATGAACAATTTTGCATTACGTCACAACCTAAGCGACGTCACGATGCATGTCAGTTATCATAGCCTCGTACAGCCCCATACAGTGAACTTCCGTTGCATCCCGTTTCTTGGTTTGCAGTTGCTTCACGCAGCTAACATCACTGGTGGAAACATTACGTTTATGTTTTACGACGGGTAAAATGTCTCAATTCGACTCACAAGTTTTCAGCGACGCCGTAACGTTCGTAATGTCTACATTCCCACAATGGATGGAGCACCTCGAGCGTTTTCTCAAAGAGAGGGG